TCTATTTATTACCACTTTATATGAAGTCAAAAGTACAACAATTTAACAATGGTGGTAATATTGGTGACTTTTTTTCATTCACCCACTTAATTGTTTGAATGAATATAAGTGTATATCTAGCAGATCAGGCGGCCAAATTTAAATTTTGGTTTGTAGTAAAATGCTCGTTTTTATAGGCAGTCAATCGCTTCTGCTCTTCTAGTAAAACTAGACCTCTCCGGCTACATTTGGAGCAGTTAGGGTTTATTGACTCTCATTATAAATTTTGTCTCATCTTCAAACATGTTCTCTTGTTCTCTTTCTCACACCCATTAATATTTTAATCACCTCACCACCCAACCCGCAACTTAATCACAAATTGCTGATGTCAATCCGCGTTTCATGACCCTCCTGTCCCTTATCTGTAATAAATATATATATATATATATATTTATATCCCAATCGCTTCTGATCATGTTTTATAATTATTGTGCAAACAACAATAGTCTTCAGAATTAATTAGAAATAATCTCCATGGGAGGACCCAGGAAGCTCACAGACGAATATCAAGTTTCAGAGATTCTGGGCAGAGGAGGATTCTCGATTGTGAAAAAGGGCATTAACAACAAGAAAAAAAAAGTTGTAGCCATAAAAACTTTGAGAAGGGTGCAGGTGAATCCATCTTCAACCAAGGGAATATCATTGCAGACATGGACGAACCAGGTTTCCATATCAGAAGCTCTGGTGACAAACGAGATGTTGGTAATGAGAAAAATAGTAGAGGAGGTCTCTCCACATCCAAACGTGATAGAGCTTTACGACGTGTGTCAGGACGAGCATGGAGTTCATCTGGTAATGGAGCTTTGCACCGGTGGAGAGCTCTTTGATAGGATAGTGAAAGAGAAAAGGTATTCGGAGGCCGGAGCAGCGGCGGTGGTGAGACAGATAGCGGCGGGATTGGAGGCTTTGCATAGAGTGAATATTGTGCATAGAGATTTGAAGCCGGAGAACTGTTTGTTTTTGAATGAAGAAGAAGAGTCGCCATTGAAGATAATGGACTTTGGATTGAGCTCGGTGGAGGAGTTTACAGATCCTGTAGTTGGGTTGTTTGGATCAATTGATTATGTTTCGCCGGAGGCTCTTTCTCGGGGGAGAATCACGGTGAAGTCTGATATGTGGTCTTTGGGTGTCATCTTGTACATCCTCCTCTCCGGGTATGTTTCTGTTCAATCATACCCAACAATATATATATATATATATATATTATATGCATACATAAAATCAACTTACCTTAATTACTTATTTTATATGAAGAAATAATAAGAGTTTAGTTATAGTTTTAATCCCAAAATATTACCTACTTGGAATAAGTAAGAAATTATTAATTGAATGAAACAAAAGAATCAAAATAATTGAGTGATATATATATATATATGTATGTTTGTATATTATAAAAATTTTCCAATATTAATTAATGAATAATCATTAGGTGCATTGCATGTATTCTACTTCTTGATATATATATATATATGTGTGTTTAGTTCTATTTGTATGGTTGTGTATTAAGAGTGAAGAAGAAACCAAA